AGGGCCCGGCGCCGCCGCTGGAAGTGCGAGCAGGTGACATTCTGCGGCGCGGACGAGCAGCTGTGCCACCTGTGGCTGCAGGCGCTGCGGGAGCAGCTGGACAAGCTGAGTACGTACGGCCTGCGCGTGTGTTTTGTTGTTATTGTTACTTTTGTTCATCTTCTCCTGGGGACATCTTTTCCCGTTGACATCAGAGAGTGGAAGGGAGGGAGCGAGGGGCAGAGAAAGACATGGGTGGGCTGCCTCCTGCATGCATCCTGACCCGGCCAGGGCTCGAACCTGCCACCCAGGTAATGCAGCCTTTGTATTTAGAGAAAGACCGAGGGGTTGTGGTACCTGCCTGCATACACGTGTGTGTACACATGTGTGAGATCATGTATAGGTGTGCATGCGGAGGTGTGCCTACACGTGAGCGGCATGTGCACGTGTGAGTGTTTGCCTGAGTGTGTGCGTGCCTGCGTGTGTGCGTGCCTGAGTGTGTGCGTGCCTGAGTGTGTGCGTGCGTGCGTGTGTGCGTGCCTGCATGCGTGCTGCCGTGACCTCTGCTTCCCTCCTCCTCTCTCAGCCCCTGTAGCCGAGCGGGGGGTGAGGCATCGCTGTGGCTTTTACACGTTTTCTAGTTGGAGGAGCAGCTGAGGGTGTGCCCGCAGCACCGGCTCTGCCTGCGGGTTTGGCGCCGTGGTGGGGACGTGCATCCCCGCTCTGGTGTGAGCTGGAGGTCATCCTGGTGTGAGCTGGAGGTCATCCTGGTGTGACCTGGAGGTCACCCTGGTGTGAGCTGGAGGTCGCCCTGGTGTGAGCTGGAGGTCATCCTGGTGTGAGCTGGAGGTCACCCTGGCGGCCATGGGCCTCTGTGGTGTGATGCGTGTTCCTTCATCCACGTGACGGTGACGGTCACTGAGGCAGCTCCCGTGTGGCTCTCACACGCATCCCAGCGCGTCTTTGGCTGAGCACGTGCGCACTTCCCTTGGGCGCCTGCCTGGACTGGGATTGCCAGGCCGGATGGGGTGCGTGTGTCCGGCCTCAGTGGGCACGGCCCACCTGTCCCACAGTGGGGGTCCCGGAAGCTCCCTTCAGGGAGCCGCTGAGTTCTGGCTGCCCCATCTCGCCCGCGCCCCGAACATTTCAGCCTTTCTGGTGGGTGTAGTTTGCATTCCCTGACGCTGGCGAAGGAGGAACACGCCTCTGGGGGGGCCACCCCGAAGCCCGCTGTGAGGTGTCTGTTCAGGTTCGGGTCCATCTTTCTGTGGGGCCGTCTTTCTCACTGACGTGCGGGCGTCCCGTCCGTGCTGTGGGTCGGGAGCTTTTCCTGGACTTGGACGCACAGGTACCTTCTCCCATCGAGGGCTTGCATTTCACTGCCTTCACTCCGTTCTTTTTAAAAATATATATTTTTATTGATTTCAGATAAGAAGGGAGAGGGAGGGACAGAGAGAAATATCAAAGATGGGAGAGAATCATTGATCAGCTGCCTCCTGCATGCCCCCCAACTGGGGATCGAGCCCGCAAACCAGGGCCTGTGCCCTTGACTAGAATCAAACCCGGGACCCTTCAGTCCGCAGGCCGACGCTCTATCCACTGGGCTACACCGGCCAGGGCTTCTCTCCGTTCTCTGGATGGTGAACAGTCTTAACCGTGACCTGGTCCCATTGACCTTTTCTCAGCCTCTGTGGCTGGGCTGTGTCCTCTCAGGGCGTCTGCGCCGAGGCCATGGGGGCCGCCTCGTCTCTAAGCGTGAGACCCATGACCCCCGGACCGACCGCCCACGTGGTGCGAGGTTCCGTCCTTGGGGTGTAGACACCGGCCTGACACCCCTCCGCCGTCTGCGGGAAAGACTGTCCTCCGGCTCAGTGCTGTGGCCGTCGTGTGTAGCTCGTGTGTAGCTCGTGTGTAGCTCGTGTGTAGACGTTGAATGGAGTTTTGCGTTTCGCCTCCCGCCCACGGCTTTGCCGAACTCACTCGTTAAGGGGCAGTTTGATGACGTCCCGTCGCGGTGCAGACTCAGTTCTGTCTCCCGCCTCCGGCCTCGTGCCTTTTCTCGCTTCTCCTCCGCGTGGGCCTCGTGGGCTGTCACTGTCCTCTCCACACGGACGGGACGCCCCCAGCGCCGACCTGACCTGTCAGCACCGTGCCCCAGGCTCCACGCGGACCCCCAACCCCCGCGCCTCCGTTCGTGCAGCGCGGAGCTTGGGTTGCTCGCTCGTTACGTGCACCCTGACCCCACGCACCCTGACCCATGCACCCTGACCCACGCACCCTGACCCCATGCGCCCTGACCCACGCACCCTGACCCACGCACCCTGACCCACGCACCCCCCCCCACGCCCTGACCCCAGGAGCCCTGACCCACGCACCCTGACCCCACGCTCTGCCTTGCAGCCTGCAGACCGAAGCGCCTGCTGGTGTTCATCAACCCGTTCGGCGGGAAGGGCCAGGGCCTGCGGATCTACGAGCGGAAGGTGGCGCCGCTGTTCGCGCTGGCCGCCATCTCCACTGAGGTCATCGGTAAGGCGGGAGCTGTGCGGCCGGGAGGCGGGGACCCGTTCGGACGTGGGCACTGGGGACTGCAGACGGAGATTTTTAAAAAATGGATGTCAGAGAGGAAGGGAGAGGGAGAGAGAGAGACACCAATGAGGAGAAGAATCATGGATCGGCTGCACCTGCACGCCCCACCCTGGGGATCCAGCCTGCAACCTGGGCCTGTGCCCCGACCGGGAATCGAACCCGGGACCCTTCAGCCACAGACCGATGCTCTAGCCACCGAGCCACACCGGCCCGGCTCCTGTGAGACCTTAAACAAAATGGAATGTGGGTCGTCGTTCTCCCCCCACAAATCAGAAGGAGAAGAAGACGATAAAGAGCGTAGCGTTTCTAGCCAAGCCCTGCAATGCCCGCTCTCAGGAAGTGACTCTATGACAGTGACGGCGAACCTTCTGAGCTCGGCGCGTCAGCATTTGAAAAACCCTAACTTCACTCTGGTGCCGTGTCACATAGAGAAATTTTTTGATATTTGCAACCAGAGTAAAACAAAGACTTATATTTTTGATATTTATTTTATACATTTAAATGCCATTTAACAAAGAAAAATCAACCAAAAAAATGAGTTTGCGTGTCACCTCTGACACGCGTGCCAGAGGTTCACCATCATTGCTCTATGAAGATAAACGGATGAAGACCACGGACAGAAATTCTTGCAAGAAAGCGATGACGTTTTAGAAATAACATTACCAATAAGCGACGTTGTGGGAAGCGAGTGCCATGCCACGTTGGTGACCCCGAGCTCCCTGAGCCCGCTCTGGGAGCCAGCGGCCCGTGAAAACCTGTCCATGGGCCCCTGGCGAGGGGCCACTGCGGTCCCGGCCTCAACCGGGAGGGTTTGCCCGGAGCTCCTGTTCCCGGGTCCCTCCGAGGAAGACGGTGCCCGTTGCACGTTTTCTAGCAGCAAAACGTGGAAAACACTCGATGTCCCCACGCGGGAAGCAGGAAGTCAGACCCGGTGACTCGGCAGGACGGGCATGTGGTCCTCACACGTGGGCGTGGCACACGGTGCCTAACGGGGAGCGCGAGGGTCTGATGCGGTGGGGGGATGCAGGCCTTGCCCACAGCACAATCTCACGGGCTGTGGTCCTCACGCGGGGCATCTGGGCTCTGGGCTGCTGCTGTGTTCCTGCATCTTGGCTTTTCTAAGACTTTCAGAGTAACTTGGATAATAAGGAAGAACTAACTATAAAGGAGGAGAGTGGATTCTTTCCCAACATCCGGTGTCCGTTGGCAATTACACGCCCGAGAGTGGTGCCTCCCGGGGCCGTTTCCCCCGAGGGCGGTGCTCCGTGGCGGGCGGTCTCCTCGGAGAGAGACGGGGTGCCGTGGGAGCAGGGTGGCTGGCGGGGGCCTCCTGGGGACCACGTCCTCGTTCTGACAGGACGGGCCCCTGCCTGTGGCTGTGGGGGGTCCACAGGTCTGACGTGCGTTTCTCCGCAGTCACGGAGCGAGCCAACCACGCCAAGGAGGCCTTGTATGAGATGAGCGTGGACGGCTACGACGGGTGAGTGCGCCGCTCGCTTCCTGTGGGCCGTGAGGGGCGTGTGCGTCCCCCGGCTGCCTGGGTTTGGTTCGCACCCGTTCCGCACGCTTTTCCCGGCTGAAAGTGAGCGTGCTTCTCATGGAAAGTGAGCAGAGGGCCCTGCAGAGCCCGCGTCTGTGACCCGGGGAGACCACCGGCTAGATGTGCGCTTCCCTTGTGTCTTACCACCTACATGGGCTTGTGTGAACACACGTTACAGGCATGACCACACTGCCTATATGATGTGAACACATGTTACAGGCATGACCACACTGCCTACATGGTGTGAATGCATGTTAAAGGCATGACCACACTGCCTACATGCTGTGAATGCATGTTACAGGCATGACCACACTGCCTACATGCTGTGAATGCATGTTACAGGCATGATCACACTGCCTACATAATGTGAATGTGTGTTATAGGCATGATCACACTGCCTACATAATGTGAATGGGTGTTACAGGCATGATCATACTGCCTACATCAGGGGTCCTCAAACTTTTTAAATAGGTGCCAGTTCACTGTCCCTCAGACCGTTGGAGGGCCGGACTGTAGTTTAAAAAAAAAACTATGAACAAATTCCTATGCACACAGCGGCAGCAAAAACACACGGTGGGCCAGATAAATGTTTTCGGCAGCCGCATGTGGCCCGCGGGCCGTAGTTTGAGGACCCCTGGCCCACATGGTGTGAATGCGTGTCACAGGCATGAGCACACTGCCCACATGGTGTGAATGTGTGTCACAGGCATGAGCACACTGCCCACATGGTGTGAATGTGTGTCACAGGCATGAGCACACTGCCCACATGGTGTGAATGTGTGTCACAGGCATGAGCACACTGCCCACATGGTGTGAATGTGTGTCACAGGCATGAGCACACTGCCCACATGGTGTGAATGTGTGTCACAGGCATGAGCACACTGCCCACATGGTGTGAATGTGTGTCACAGGCATGAGCACACTGCCCACATGGTGTGAATGTGTGTCACAGGCATGAGCACACTGCCCACATGGTGTGAATGTGTGTCACAGGCATGAGCACACTGCCCACATGGTGTGAATGTGTGTCACAGGCATGAGCACACTGCCCACATGGTGTGAATGTGTGTCACAGGCATGAGCACACTGCCCACATGGTGTGAATGTGTGTCACAGGCATGAGCACACTGCCCACATGGTGTGAATGTGTGTCACAGGCATGAGCACACTGCCCACATGGTGTGAATGTGTGTCACAGGCATGAGCACACTGCCCACATGGTGTGAATGTGTGTCACAGGCATGAGCACACTGCCCACATGGTGTGAATGTGTGTCACAGGCATGAGCACACTGCCCACATGGTGTGAATGTGTGTCACAGGCATGAGCACACTGCCCACATGGTGTGAATGTGTGTCACAGGCATGAGCACACTGCCCACATGGTGTGAATGCGTGTCACAGGCATGAGCACACTGGCCACATGCTGTGAACGCGTGTCACAGGCATGAACACACTGCCCACATGGTGTGAATGCATGTCACAGGCATGAGCACACTGCCCACATGGTGTGAATGCGTGTCACAGGCATGAGCACACTGCCCACATGGTGTGAATGCGTGTCACAGGCATGAACACACTGCCCACATGGTGTGAATGCGTGTCACAGGCATGAGCACACTGCCCACATGGCCTGTGTGAGCGTGGCGGGCCCCCTGGTTGTCCCAGGAGTCGGGCCTGTGCTGCTCAGGGACAGGCTGCCCCCGCAGGACACCAGGGGGAGCCCTGGAGAGAGGGGGTGGGGGGCGGCCGTGCAGGGCCCTCCCGGGCAGGACGGCATGTTCAGTGAGGTCCTGCACGGGCTGATCGGCAGGACGCAGAGGATGGCCGGCGTGGACCAGAACGAGCCCCGGGCGGCGCTGGTGCCCTGCCCGCTGCGCATTGGCATCATCCCCGCAGGTAGGACCCGGCCGCCCTCCTGCGCCCAGTGCCCACGCCCCGCGCCACTCAGCGCCTGTGACAGAGCGGCTAACTCCCCAGCAGAGTCTTTTCAGAACACAGGGCCTGGCCGGGAGCTCAGGTGGTTAGAGCGCCTTCCCGATACACCAGGTGAGGGTGCGATCACCTGTCCGGGCGCAGGTGGGAACCGTGAGAGCAGGAAGCGCGGAACAGCAGACTCACGTTCCCCTCCCCCTCCCGGCCCCCCTCCTCTCACATCAGTGAGACCAGCCCTCCCAGTGGCTCAGTGGATAGAGCGTTGGCCCGACTGAAGGGCCCCAGTTAGGTTCCGGTAGAAGGCATGTACCTCGGTTGCAGGCTCGTTCCCCTGCCCTGGGTGGGCCCTGGGCGGGAGGCGACCGATCGGCGTGTCTCTCTCACGTCAGTGTCTCTCCCCTCCCTTCCACTCTCTCTAGAAATCTTTGGGGACAATATCCTCGGGTGAAGATTAACAAAAAAAAGTGGATTTTTAAATGTGGGGTTTTTTTCTTCAGCAAAATACCCCTGAACCTATCAGAAACTCAGTTTACCTGCCTTGCTCCCTGTGAAGGACTCGATGTGGGGGGAGGGGTGTGTGTGTCCCCGTCCAGGGCGGCCCGGCGAGCCCTCTGCGTCGTCTCTGGAACCCACCGCCTGTGGCCCCGCTTTCGGCCGGTAGCTGGCAGCTGCTCCTGAGTGAGCTGGGACTGGGGGG